GAGATATCGTGCGAACAGAAAAGGGGAGAAAGAAAGAAGAATAAAAAAAAGAAGATGAAGATGATGATGATGATCCTGACAATAACAATAGGTGATCCGCTAGTGTTAGCGGATCACCAATTATAACTTCTTAATTATACTTTAGGCCTAACAATAATAATCTAAAATTATAACACGAATGGTGCCATAATATGTAGCGCCCCCAACTTGGTATATATGTGTGTGTGTATTTAGGCCTATACATACCCTGCTAAACACACACTGGGAAAGAAAATCATTTTACCATGTACAGTACTCTTCCACTGTGGTGGGGATTGGGGTGTCAGCAAAAAGAGCATGTTTTGTACTCTTGTGAAAATGATTAAAATAATGGATGACCCTAAAAAAAAATGTAGTTGCACTCTTAATAATAATGTGAAAAGGTATAAGTCAATGTAATAATCAAAATTTCAAAGAAAAAAAAATTGGACATATATGATTTTTTTAAAGTTTGTGTCTTCTTGGTATTGGTGATGATAAATCCTTTGAAAAGTAAGCTTAATTTCATTATTCACTAGCCATACAGGTAGGCCTATGTTTTTTTTTTACATTTATGCATTCATACAACACAAAGATATAAAGAAGAAATTTACACAATACTTGCAGGAACTCTGTTAGCCTATGGATCAGCCTAACTCTTCCAATTCTACTCTAAAGACCCTTGTATCAGCCGGTGGGAACACAGAGTTGTTAGAGCCTGGGGATACAGAGGTGTTTATCACAGAATCAGATGGAGTATCTCACTTAGGAATCCAGTCACCTGATGTCATCAGCATCACTGTATCATCAGAGCCACCATTTAATAATGGAGCCGTATCAACCAGTAACCAAAGTATGTAAATATTATTGATACACAAAGTTTTTTTTAAACAATAAATTTTTCTTACTAAAGATACTGCCTGTGTTGAAAAAACTTGAGTTTGATTTGCTTTGGTCATTTAAAAAAAAAATAAATTTAGTTTATTTAGTATATAAAATTATTACTTTCTTACCAATTGTAAGAACTTCATACTACTTTCTGTAAATCCTTAAATGTGCACCACATGCTTATAACATTTTTAGAGGCTTCAGTGCAGCGCTTATTTAAGACTTATTAATAAAATATTGGCGTGGCGCTTCCCATGCTTATTCCCATGTTACTTATCTCACATGTTCCCATAGTTCGGTAGGCCTATTATAGGCCCTACATCATCATAAATAAAGATATTATAAAGATATGCACGTGTCTTCAGTGTGCTCTTTTGAACATTATACATTGTATTTAAAATCCCTTTTCTCAAAGTGTTTCATTCAAAATAGAATAATAAGTAGCACTTAGTAAAAATATATATTTGGTGCGGCGCTTACAGTATTCTAGAGCTGCGCCTATTCAAGAGTGGTGCTTCTTGAAGGATTTTATTTTTAAAAAAATATATGATGCATACAAATTTTACAAAAAAAAAGCTGGCCAAAAGGATATGAAGCATTTAGAACTAGAAATAAAATATTATCGCACATGGGATATGAGACTTAAGCACCTTTCTGACAGAACTGCAAAACCGCAATATTGCGGGGAGCGTGCCGGCGTGGGTTTTTTGCTGAAAGGGTCAATATGCCAATATGCCGGCTTACCTTAGGCCACTTTGCACCCTAGTTATATTGCCGCTGCCGCAAAGTTACGATAACGGTTACTGGCTTGCTCTGTTTGAAAGGGTTTACTCGATATTGCGGCAATCAAGCTGGCATGTGCATTTATGCATAAACAAGTAAGGTTAAAGTTGAAAACAATTGCGGGATGGTATTTAAACCGCCACTATTATGCCATTCTATAGGACCCTTTTAGACAGAAAAGCGTAAGATTACCACAATATTGCGGTTACAAAGACGCTGTGTGAAAGGGTATAGACCAGCTATTATGCCGGCATGCTTACTGCATTATTGCGGCAACGTCTATCTGAAAAGGGCTTTACAGACAAGAGGCTATTTGACTGTCATTGGCATTGGCTGCAATTTTTCTACCGTAACTAGTCTAGTACTGTATTAACGTACACTGTACATTTACCAGTTAGCAAAACTTTGTGTCATCCAATAAAAAATCCAGAAATTCAATATGGAAGGGCGTCAATGAGGGACTTTCACAAATAGTGAGCCAAGGCCTCAGCCCCACCAAGGTTGGGGGTAAGAACAAATTATGATTTTGGCACCTCTAGAGGGAAATGGCACTCTCAGACTTAATTTAATACATAATTTTTTTACACTACATTTACCAATAGCTAAACTTTGTGTCATCTGGTGGTGGATCCAGGAATTTGAAACAGAGGTGACCCAGGGAGGGACTTTCAAAGATAAAGGGTCCAAGAGCAGCCCTACCATAGTTTGGGCTGAGGTAATATAAAAAAAACTAATTGTAGCACCTTTAGATGGCAGGAAATGGTACTCTCCGACTTAAATTTTAATCCCATTTTTTCTCCATTTTGTTATAATTTTGAAAAATGTAGGAGGGGAGGTGGCAGCCTCCTCCCGAATCCGCCATTGCCATCAGCAGTTAATTTGCTCTTTGATATGCACATTTATAAGTGCACTTAATAATAATATTAACAATTTAACAAAATATGTCACTAAAATAAATAGAAAAAAAATTATTTTTTATTATAAAAGGTATATTTATCTTAGCAAAATATTGGTCAGGCGGTTTCCGGACCACTTCCGCCGCCCATTAAAATGTTAAATCTTGTGTTAAAATGAACACTTTTTGAGTGAATTTACAGTAGACAAGGCTTTAAAAAATACAATGTTGGGCAGTCTTTCAAGCCATTAATACAGGCAACATAAACAACTACATTTATTAGGTATGTTTGGGTATGTTATTTCTTTCATGTTAATGTTTTCTTTGAATTTAGTAAAATGCTTTTTAATTGTTGGGTAATTGTTATTTTTGTGTATGGGTAAGTAAAACTAAATATAATAATTTTCTTTTTTTTATACTGATAGAACCTAAATATATGGAAGCAATTGAAAATGAATCCAAAGGTGAACAAATTGGTAAAGGAGACCAGCATGCTGTACAACCAGTACAGAAGGCAAAAGGTATTTTTTTTCAACCTTTATTTGAGTTTTATTATTTGAGATACAATTAATACTCATTTTAACATTAAAAATGTCATTTGAAGATTTTCAGATTCCAGAGGGATGGCCAAGACTTCATGAAATGATATTTAAAAAGAGGGCACTGTTCTTTCGCAAACCTGCTTCTAATAGTGTCAACAGAGCTGCAGAGAACCTTCACAAATTGCAGGAACGCCTTGAGGAATGGAGTAAAGAAGTTGAACTTGAGATTTTCAGTCGTAAGTCTAGCGTTAGTCGGGCAAGTAGCAAGGTGCCTGAGCTTGTTACACCTAGGAAACCAACTGATGACAGAGGTAATGCATTTAAAATCATCATTAGGCCTAGATGTGCTTAAATATACATATTACTAGTGAGATATTCATAAGTACAGTATTATAGTAAATGTGGAGCTCTATCTGATGTTAGTGAAGGCTAAAAACTTTTTTTCACATAGTTTAAAAACTGCAGTGCAGTTTTTACTTTCAGTAGTCTCAAAATTTTAGTATGGAAATTCAATGCAAATTGGGTTGTTCCAAATTACAGGTTTAGTGTCATAACAACCATGAAATGAAAAAAAAAATGACTGATAGAATAATGGCTGACATTTTTACATAGGAGTAATCCTGCCAAGTGTGTCAAGTTCAAATGAAAATCTTAATATGTTGGCCCATTTATGGGTCTAGTGATCATGTAATGCATGAGGACCATACAAGTTCCTATTTTAGGTTCATTTTAACTGTTACTTAGCATCAAGGCGGATAAGATTTGCAAGTCGCTCAAATCACTGTGATGCATCTTCTTCAACATCAAGTAGGACAGTTCCTGATGGGCTAAGCTCTTCACTGGTGTCGGTTCCCAATGAGGCCATTAGTAGAGATCTGTCAATTCAAGGAATTGGAGCAATTATGATGCAAGGTACAAGCCCTGTTTTGTTTCTTATTTGCTGTCACGGTGTTGTCATTGGCATTATTAACAGCATTGTAAGGCCAAAAAAGAAAATGTTGTGTTGTCGGGTTGGCATTTTTTTTTTGAAATTCGAACAAATACAAATACAAATTCAAGAAATACTGTACACTGCCAAAATTGACATTTCGAACATAAAATCTAAAGGAGACATGTATTTTTATCAAAATTGGGCCATAGATGTACGTGTAAAATCGGTAAAATGGAAGGCATAATATGGAGGATTGAGCGTGACGACAATAATATGATTTGCAAGGAGTGACTGGTTTTGCTTGTTTTCAACACATTTTCATTTTGAAATATGTGATATATACTGAGATCATTAATGGTGTAAAATATTTTAATTTTGATTGACAGAAACCAAAGATGCTGAACCAGTTATTGAAGAGGAAGAGGTGCCAAATATTGGAGCAGAAGTAGTAATAGATGAAGTTGTGACCCTGTTAGGCCGACTTGAGACTGACCGTATGGATACTGAAAAGACATTTTATAAAGAGAAACAAAGGGTTATCTGGCTCCGGGAACGGATTGACAAACTAGCCAATCATAGAATGCAAGAGCTGCCAAAGGCTGTTCAAAATGGTTAGTTTATATCAAGATAAACAATAAAATGATAAATATCATTTGTACTGATTTTGTAATGTATTTGATGAAGACTGTACAATATCTGAAGGAAGATTAAAACATATAAATTAAAGATAACATTAAAGATAAAGATATTGTTTTCATTTCATGTTTTAATTACCATTTTTAGTGTTTATATATTATTATTAATTTTATCTTATCGCAATTATTACATACAGAATTAAGTACAGATTACAATGATAACTTGAAAAATTTGAACAAATATTTTCCATCCAGAACATGAAGCCTGTTCATTGGATATCAGCGAATTAAAATGGCATTGTGCATACCGTAATCGGCAACAAAACCGCATCCAAGGTCGTGTGGAAGTTTCACAGACACTAAATGCACGACTTAAGGAAGACATAAGCTTTGTGACAAAGCATTGGTAAGTGCTGTACATTTTGTTACCATCCTCTATAAAGTCACCTGTCATATTGTGGTGAAAATATCTCTCATAAAATCTAGGAAATTTTATTATTATTTTCATTATCATTATATGTGACAAAGTCAAGCCAAACCAGGCACTCGTCGCAAATCCTGTTTCAGAGATATTGACCAAAACATGGTGGAATGTCAAATTCTTTGAAATCTATTTTACTGCACTAAACTAACCTTTATATGTCTATATATCATGCTATGCTGTTATTTTCCCCATTTTAAATGTTAAAACAACAATTTTTAACGATATGGTGATGGTTTCTGAACTTTGAAGGCTGATTTCTTGAATATTGTTCATGAAACAGCTGTATGTTTAAATGCTTGTAACTTCTTAAGGAATGTTGGATTTAAATGATTCTTTTACCATTTTTATAGCTCTCATTTTACTGTTGAACACTGTATTAATAATTAAAAATCAATTTTTTTGCGATGAGTGACTGCTTTGGCTTGTCTTTGCTACATAGTTCAACTTCCTAAAATAATAATAATAATTTTGCGCATATTATGGAGACCTCTATGAACTTAACATAAACATAAAAACCAAGAAATTAATACTTTCAGTAATCTAAACCTAAAAACAAACTAATCCTACTCCTACTAAAAGGTTAATGATATGTGATTATTAGGCATTATTTTTGTTTTGTTTTTGATTCGTTTAGCCCTCTTGTTGAAGAAAAGCTGGAGCTTGAGAGAGGTGCCATGGCATTGATTGATAATGCTCAAGAACAGGTAGGTAATCGGCTTAATTTTGTAGAGAAAATAAGAAGGGGAATGGGGAGCAGGAAGGTGAGGGTAGGTAGCAGGATTGAAAGAGGGATAATAAAAGAAACAGTAGGACTTGCGGCAACTTAACCCAAGACCTGTGGGAATTATTTGGTCCGATGATTTAAAACTCTGACTCAGTCAGAATAGATTAAAAAAATAGTACCTTGTATGGTATAAAACAACCCTATAGACGGTTCTCAACAGGCGGAAAATAGTATTTTCCATTAGGCTTGGGCCTACATTTCTAACCTTAATAATTTTGCTGACTAGGCCTATATATATCCCCACTAATTGTAGTGATTTAATCAATCAGATCAGAAGAACTATCGCAGTAAACAGCAAAGAAATGAGACCATAACACGCCAACTTTCTGTGTCTCACACAGTCGCTCGCTTGATGTTTCATGTCTAGCCAGCCTAGCGTGTTAGCATGGCGGTGCTCTGCTGCATGTAGTTCCATACGACACGGGAAACTAGCTTGCATCAAGATGCCCTGTATGAGCGTCTAGCAACTAAGTATTTTCAAAAAATGTCTAATTTGGGAAGGGGACACCCCTCCCAAACAATCACCTGGCTCATACTGTACTCATCTTGCTCTGGCCCTTCAAATTTATTCACTGAACAATTTTGGCCCCTATTGCGATATAGTTGAGAACCCCTACTATAGACAGTTCTTCTCATGTTCATCCTGACTAATGTGAATACTTGATAAGTAATTAAATTACTGCTCAAAATTAAATAGATAAAAGAAATAGCACCTTCTGTAGTACAAACCAGATGTATAGATAGTTCTTCTCATATTCCAATCCAATCCTAATCTAAATACTTGATAAATAATTAAATTAGTCAATTCTTACTAATAAACCACAAAGATCTTCACTTATTTGTGTGAATTGATATTTGATTTTACCTCGCAGACTACTATAGAGTTACAGAAAACAGAAGCCAAGTTGAAACGTACTCAAGATAAATCAGCGGAGGCCCATGGGAAGGCTAATATGGAACGCGCTCATATCAAGAAAGAACTAGATTCAGTTCGAGATGCCTTGAGAGAGATAAAGTAATTAATTTTTTTTATAATTATAAACAGAGTGTACATTTGAAAAGGAAGATATTTTTGATGGGTTGGTATTTTTATATATTGCATCACTAATACGATTATGCCAAATATACAAAATATTATCGTCACTTGTTTTTCAGAATTCCATATTTTTTTGTTGCTTATATATATATATTGATTTCATTCTTCACACAGTCTGGAGCTGGATGAAGCAAAAGCCTTACATTTAACTTACTCCCATCACTGCAATGACTTGAGGGTAAAGATTGATGCTAACAAACAGGAAAAAATAGTGCTGGGTAAGTTAAGAAAAAAGATTAGTTACTGCATTTATTATAAATGGTACAGTCGACCTTCCGATTTACGTACACCTTGGGTTGAAAGCAGTTCGTAATTGAGAAAATTTGTAAATAAGAAGTTTGTAAGAATAGCGCCCTCAAGTTTAAAAGCGTCAAGTTGTAGCCTATAACTAGGCCTGCCTACCAACATCTAGGCTTAATTTTGCATTTAAGTGTTCAATAGACATTTATAGAAATCGTTCAAGAATCAATTAAATGTTAATGCAAGACAAACTAATATATTAAATATCGATTTATAATAGGCTAAGGAAATCGTTCCATGAATAGACCGACCTAATCTTCCATGTCACTAATAGGCTGAATGTTCAACATACAGTGGTGGTACCGGTTTAGCTGGGCCTAGCAGCAGCTCTGCTAACTTTAGCTAGGCCTCTCTCCGTAATTTGTAGCAAATTAGTAAACAAACATTGATATCAATTTGTATTAAAAGCACTGGGCTTATTATTTATTTAATTTAGTCAAGGTATTTTTGTATAATTTAAAAAAAAAAGAAACTGTTCCTATTTTTTTCGACCTTCCTGACTTCCAAACATGTGGTTTTGGTAGCATTGAATGATGGGTAATTGCCGATGTCATCTTCTTAAAATAGAGCAGCTTGCTAATCATTTTTTGACCGTGAAAAACAAATAATACAGATGCTTATTGAATATCCGAACAGTGATTTATTAAAAGGATAAAAGATTATATGTTACCATACATTTATACTCGGGACTAGCTGATTCGATTTACATTCCATTTAGACCGCAGGTAACCATAAGACAGGGTAGAGTAGGCCCCCCCCCCTGGTATAGGCTGCCCAGCCTTGCCCTTAGCCTTGACAAGGTAGGCCTAGCAGCAGCATGCACTGCCTGCCTGAATTTCGGCTAGTTTTGATTATTTTACATCATGTGTTGGTTTGACTTTTCTAAGCCTAAAGTAGTATGTTATGGAATGTACTGTATAACTAGTACAGTACTATAATGCATTTTTAATGACCTTTGTAATTCATTTTTGTTAAATTAAATAAAAATATCAAAAATTAGATGAGTAAATCTAGTGATGACGTCATCGGCTGAACGTTTGTAAAATAGAAGGTTCGTAAATGAGAAGTTTGTAAATGGGAAGGTCGACTGTACAGTAATTATATAAATGAAATATTGTTTTTGTTTTACTATTTGCTTTACCAGAAAGTCATTGTTTTTGTGGCCTAGCAGCAGCTCTGCTAACTTTAGCTAGGCCTCTCTCCGTAATTTGTAGCAAATTAGTAAACAAACATTGATATCAATTTGTATTAAAAGCACTGGGCTTATTATTTATTTAATTTAGTCAAGGTATTTTTGTATAATTTAAAAAAAAAAGAAACTGTTCCTATTTTTTTCGACCTTCCTGACTTCCAAACATGTGGTTTTGGTACCTGTAGCATTGAATGATGGGTAATTGCCGATGTCATCTTCTTAAAATATAGCAGCTTGCTAATTGTTTTTTGACAGTGAAAAACAAATAATACAGATGCTTATTGAATATCCAAACAGTGATTTATTAAAAGGATAAAAGATTATATGTTACCATACATTTATACTCGGGACTAGCTGATTTGATTTACATTCCATTTAGACTGCAGGTAACCATAAGACAGGGTAGAGTAGGCCCCCCCCCCCTGGTATAGGCTGCCCAGCCTTGCCCTTAGCCTTGACAAGGTAGGCCTAGCAGCAGCATGCACTGCCTGCCTGAATTTCGGCTAGTTTTGATTATTTTACATCATGTATTGGTTTGACTTTTCTAAGCCTAAAGTAGTATGTTATGGAATGTACTGTATAACTAGTACAGTACTATAATGCATTTTTAATGACCTTTGTAATTCATTTTTCTTAAATTAAATAAAAACATCAAAAATTAGATGAGTAAATCTAGTGATGACGTCATCGGCTGAACGTTTGTAAAATAGAAGGTTCGTAAATGAGAAGTTCGTAAATGGGAAGGTCGACTGTACAGTAATTATATAAATGAAATATTGTTTTTGTTTTACTATTTGCTTTACCAGAAAGTCATTGTTTTTGTTCATATTTCTTTTCTTTACTGGTAATTCTGACATTTTGCCCTATGCTTTTGCACATGACTTTTTTAACCCCCCCCCCCTCCAGTTAGCAAGCATAATATTCAAGCATTTGGGGTCTGTCTTGCAGTCTCACGCTTAACGGCCAAAATTTCATGCATAAATGTATTGCCTATTATTGAAAATATATGTAGTCTATTTCTGTCTTTAGTAGCTCTTTACTAAACATCCTTCATCTGCAGTACTTAAAATAGGTTTGGTTTTGTGAATATCAGTCACTTCAGACCAATATAAATTCAGCCCAAACTGATGCATTTTGGGACAGTTACAAAGAGAAATTTGCAGGGGCATGGTTTTTAAAAGTCCCACACCTGCAAATTTTCTTGGATTCTCTGCAGTTTTCTGTGTTTGAACAAAGGTGAGTTCCATAGCGCAATTGTTAGAACTCTCTGCTGTACGATGGTGGCCCTCTTGTTATTCAATGAGGAAAAGCCAAAATGTTCTGGTGTACAAATATGCATGTAGTATATACAGTAACTAGTTGTTATTTGCGTTGTTTTTGTTGTGTTAATATATATGCTGATAGCTCACAATATTATATTTCAGAAACAAAAAATCAAAATGCAAAAGCATCAGAAAAAATGACAACCAAAAAGGTGAAGAAAATACAGGAGAAAATAGTAGATGCAGAGTATGAGCACAGAAAGTTATCTGATGATAATTACACTATTATTAACAAAATTGATGAAACGGTAGGCAGTGATTGATTGTCATTTTCAGTAAAAAAAACACTATAAAATAAAAGCTGATTATAGAATTGTTTATTGCTAGTACAGTAGTTGGTATTAGTTTTATAGTAGACGATTAAAGATGTATTTCCCCATGAAAAACACCAACAAAATTAACTTGCTCATTTCGAATTAACATAAAAATTATCACTACTTTTACTTTAACATAGAAATTAGTGTATTTAAAAAATTGTTTTGTCAGAACTGAAAATATAAATGATCATATCATCACCATTTTATTATCTGATTTTAACAATATTTTGATCACTAGAAAAATCTAATAAAGAGTGTATTTTTGCTAGAGTGATCACATTTGGCCAATAATAATTTTTTTTTTAGAATTTTTTTTTTTTTAGTAATAAACATATTGAAGTTGTAAGAATTGTGTAATTTATTTAGAAAAAGAAGATTGAAAAGGTATGCGAAGGGAATGAGAAGTTGGAGAAAGAGACGTTACAACAGCTACGACATATGCAGCAAAGATCAAAGGAACTACTAATGGAGAATGAAGACATCAGAGAAAAACTGAGAGGAAGGTTAGTAGAATCAGGAAATAGATAAGAAGAATCAATTTGAAGGGTGCATCTGATTCATTTAATTTATTTTTCTAGTTAGTATACCATGGTCTGATTCTTGTTGGTGTGAGGAGTGGGAAACATGCCCAGAATCCCTTAATTTTTTAAAATTAAAGAATAAATGGAGAAAAAAAGTACAATAAAATTTGAAGAGGCGGTTTGGTGTAGCGGGAATGGTTTGTTTTCCCAACCTCAAGGTCGGCGTTTCAATCCCTCGCTGAGCATTTCGCTTGTGTCCTTGAACAAGACACTTTATCTGCAGTGCTTCTCTTCATCCAGGAGTATAAATGGGTACCTGGTGGTGTTGCCTGCTCCTGCGCTGATTACCAGCAGCAACACTTAGCATGTGGACCTAATGACCAGGGAAAAGAACTGCACTTTATAACCTCAAGGAAGAGGTGCATTATAAATGCCCATACCATTACCAGTACCAGTTTAATCTATAAGAGTGTCATTTCAGACCATCTGGTTTAGTTATTTGATAACTATGTCAATGTGTTAGCTGAGTGTCAATCACATGTAACTGTTTGTACTTTGTGTAACTTGTGTTCTTATTTTCACCATATTTTACAAATATTTTACAAAGGTGTGCTCTATCTAGCTGCGTATTTCGTTGTTTACTTATAATCTACTAAGACATCTGAATTTTGGTGGGTTTTTTTTATAGTGACAAACAGAAAGTTGCAAATACCAAAAATTCTGAGAGGATAAGACGAGAGTTTGAAAAAGTTGACACTCAACTGAAGGTAGTTGATGAAGAGTTTGAGAAAATCAAAGTGATTCACACAGCAATGAAAAATAAACTCTCAGGAGAGGAGGACAAGGCTAGGCTGACTGAAGACAACCTTCAGGTAAACCATGTTTTTATATTCTGTCAAGTTTACAACACACTGATCAGGGGCAGATCAAGTGGGGCCCAGTTGGCCGTCGCCAGGGGCGGATCCAGAGATCTTCGAAAGGGAGCCGAAAGTGGGTCAGATTGAGATAACACTACCCTACAGAGTCCGGGGGAAATTTTTGTTTTCTAGACCCCCGAAAATATCCTCTGAGGCGATTTAGGCAATCATTTTTTCTTTTTCTTTCTTTTTTTCCCCTTTTTTTTTTTACTTTCCAAGAAGGGGCTGGGGCTGACACGGTTCCCCCCCCCCCTATATACATCCCTGGTCACCCTCTACCTCTTCAATAATCAGTAATTGAGAAAAAGAGGGGGAAAATGGAAAATTACATTTAAGTTTAAGCGTGGTATTTCCATTTCTGTTCCTCTGGAGTTGCCATATCCTTAAAGTTTTTTGCCATAGCCCTAACCATGGTGAGACTGATATGGTTTGGATCCTTCATTTGTAAAAGCCCAAGTGGCGGATCCAGGAATTCGAAATAAAGGGGGCCCATGGAGGTACTTTCACAGATAGAGGACCTATACCATCTCAGCCCCACCATGGTTTGTGATTAGGGCACCTCTAGATGGCCGGAAATTGCACAAAGGGTGGATGAACTCCTCGGAGCCAACGGCCAAACCATGCTTAGTTTGAGGAGTAGGATTAGTTAATTATCATTATATTTGTATTCTCATTTATGTTAAGCGCATAGAGGTCTCTATGATATGCGCTCTATAAGTCGACCATTATTATTATTATTACTCTCAGACTTAAAATTTGGATATAATTTTCTTTATTTAATTTTAAAAAACAATTTTAAATCCACCACTGACCCCCTCATAGGCGTAGATCTCGGGGGGGGGGGGATGGAGGGGATATATCCCCCCAATATTTGACAAGGGGGGGATGGTCCATTGAATCATCCCCCCCAATATTTTGACTATGTATGGGTTAAAATTACACACTTCAAAAGACTGTCACAGAAATAATTTGCACTGTCTTATGAGCTTACAAAGATAAAAATTAGCATAATGTATTAATGTTGATAACAAAATTATTTTATCTGGTACCAATCTAAGCTCTTCTTAGATGTTAGATGTGCTTGCAAAGAGTGCCACATTTCACACTGAAGGGTGTGTACGACATCAGTAATGTTATATCAATTCCAAGAATGTTTAAGGTTATATCGCTTGATGAGGAATTTATTGATTAGTCCTATAACAGCAAATTGCATCAATTTATTTTGCAAAAATAAGCTTCAGAGGGGGGGCACATCCCCCTTCCGCACAAGGGCACACATTAGCGCTAACACCAAGCGCGTAACAGGGGTCTTGGGTCAGAGTGGGTATATTTTTTTTTAATTTTTTATTTCAACCATCTTTAAAGAGGGTAACCCTTCTAGTTTAGCCCAGTAGGTTAACTGACATTCAGGGCCCTCTTTAATAAAATTAAAGAACAGTACAAACAACATCATCACAACATAATAACAACAACAACAACAACAATAATAATGATAATAATAATAATAATAACATACAATCCTCATTTCCCGGTTAGTAATTTACCATACCCACCCCACCTACCCCACTCCCCATATAGAAAACAATATGACATAGGGCTTATCTTATTTATAATATAGGCCACACACGTGTGTTTGAAACTAAATATAAGCATTTTCATCGTGGTTGTATTTATTACAAACACATTCTTTCACCATCTATACACATTGAGGCCCTTCTTTTAAGTTAAAATGATCTATCTTAAATTTGTCTTTCTTGAGTTTGGGACTATTATGTGTTTAAATAACTTAAAAAGGATAAAACTAAAAAAGCCCTAAAAAATGCGCGCCAAGCACGCAAAATATTTTTGTGTTTTTAATTCTAATTTCGTCGGAATTGATGAAAACTATCTAAAATGTGCAATTTATAGAGGAAATTGTCCTACCGTAACAAGATATGCGCGCAAAGAATTTGAGAATTTTAGGCACTTTCTCTTTCCCTCCCTCTCCCCTCTTTCTTTTCTCTTATTACCCAGCCCGGTACGACGACTTGGTCGGCCCGGTAAAAACCGTCAGGGGAGGGGCAGTTTTCCCCCTGCCCCGCGCCTGTTACGACACTGGCTAACACGCCAATCATCCCCCCAATGAAAAATATTTTTCTACGGTACTGGACCCCCTCACTGGGCTCCATCTCTCATGAATTCCTGGACCCACTCTGCTGATAAATTCAAAGTAAACAATGTAAATTTATCAATGCAATCAATCAATCAACCCATTTAATATCTTGACTGTTGTTTGACATAAGCTTGTTTGGTCCTTTTATTTTTGTATTTAGCTATGTGTTGTTTGCATATCTTTAGACATATTATTTTTCAGGGAACCTCCGATACGCTAAGGAAACAGCTTAAGGAAGAGACTCACTCTAGAACCGTCCTTCAAGCCAGAATAGCATCTGACACAACTGACCTGCAGAAGCAGCGTGTGGAGGCAAGAAAGAAGAAGGCAAAGGTGTCCAAGAAGGCTACAGAGCTAGAAAATGCAGTTGCTGTAATTTTAGCTGAAGTAAAAGAACTTCGTCAGATGCACTCTGAAAAAGTTCAGGTAGTGTATGGATGTTGTGGATTTTTTAAAAAGATTTTTCAATATTAAGTTCCAAAATCATTTGCAGTATTGCGGTGAAGTCTAATTTAGGACAGCACAGCTCATTTTAATAGACAGTAACTCTTGTCCATAAAAAAAAAGATTCCATAAAAAAAAAGATTAAGCCTAACATAAAATTAAATAGGAACTAAGGCCTTCGGCCATTGGTTTCCTACACGACACATTTCAAGATTATTTTTTATGTAATTTATAACCACAAAATTAAATAAATACAGAATTATTGAAGCCATAAAATCCAATCAACTGCTATGGGATCATATTATTTGCAAAGTATACCCACAACAGCTGTGCCAGAGTTCAAGAAGTAATTTACTTAATCGTTAAAATATATATATGAATATTTTCATCTGGTTTGCTAATAATGATTGTAGAATTGTTCATTCAATAACAAACAAGCACAATTTGATGTAAACTTACTGCAAGCTTGCGTCTGTGTTATCAACATGACTTCGCCAGGTTATGTGAGCTAGCATCCGTTGTTCGAGGCATTGCGTGAACGCTTTTTTGGAGTCTTCCCCAAATGTACATGGAGTCGCAGTTTCGGCATCCAATTTTGTAAATAGCTCCACATGTGTTTTCTTTATTCGACTCTGTCTTTTGGGTGTACCAGGTGCTCTCTGAGCCTGCTGTAAGGTTTGGGCCTGGTCTACCTTTAGCAAATTCTTGATAATTTTCAAATCTATCAAATGTTACTTTAAACTAAAGTTAAAAATCATATTTAAGTTTGATAAAACAACATTTATTGATTGAATGTACATTGCTTTTGTACCAATATTGTGTGGGGATTCCCAAAGATGGGCGTGGCCCGCCCATCGGCTCAGTGCCATGCCCAATGGCTTCGATTTTGGACGGCCTATTTTTTTTTTCTGGCTAAACCCCTGCTACACACCAATATTGCCCTTCATGGTCTCCGAAGCATCCTGTCTTCTTTTATCTTTATGCACACTTTAGAATAAAAATGTAATATGATATGTGTTATGTTATTAGGAATCCTAACAGGAAAAGAGCTGGCACCAGAGGGCGTTGTCCACAATGTTAAAACAAAGAATGCTTGCTCACATAGCCTGAAGAAGTCATGTTGATATCAACTTCAGGTGTACATAAAATTGTGCTTGGCTACAACATATCTACCTTAAAACAGTGAGGATGCACACTCTAGAATAGAAATGTAATATGATATGTGATGTTATTAGAAAATACAATATTAGCATTCTAGCAAAAGTTGAATGGTGGCTTTAAAAAAAACAAAACAACTCAATTTTTATCTTAAACTAGGCCAACCAGAGACTGCAAGCAGCCATTGCCAATTCAAAGAAGCAAACATTGGATGTCAATGAAAATCTGAAAAGTACCATTGGTAGGCTCAAGCCAAATAAGAAAAAATTGGAGGTAAGATGTTGGATGCAGCAATTACTGTTGAATAAGAATACTCCCCGAAAAGGAAGGCGTTGCTGTTTCCAAACGACCAGGTTACTATAATAGTAGGCTCTCTCATGCTATTACTGAAAGTACTATTTAAATGCCAAACATTATTATTTTTTAACTATTATTATTATCATTATTATTATTATTAATTTTATTTTGTGATTTACTTATAATATATGCTTAATCTAACTTATTTAAAATTCTTTTTTTTTTTCAGACTGAGAACCTAAACAAAGCAAAGCACTTGGATCATATGCAATATCGCACAGACCTCATAAATAACAAGCTGGATGAAATGGAGCAGTCTGCCAAATATATGAATCGGGTCATCACTACTACAGAGGATGTTATTTGCGAATTAGCGTATGTTTTGCTATTATATTTGTTGTGTATTAATCCAGTAATCTTTGGTCTATGTAGCAGGTTTAATGGGTTAATAATCAGTTATCTTTATGAAACTTGAGTGGAGTGTTTTTAGTTGTGAGAAATAAAGCATGCTGGGCATTACGCCTGCATCCACCAAAGCCATAGCTCCACTCCATATGTAATGGTTTTTAAAAATTTACTTCAGGGAGGAGATGAACGAGATATCAATCAAATTGGAGACGGGCCAGAAGATGCAAGATGGTTTGAAGTCATCTCTGGATGACATATCTCAGCAGATAGATGATCGTAAAACTCGTCATGGTGATCATATGAGAGAACGTCACAAAGTGCTGTATGACCTTGAAGTAAGTAGATTGTCATTTCAAATAATTAGTTTCTCCTTTGTCCTAATCTTTAATGGTTTGTGGTTATACAGTCGCGGAAGTTTTCCAGATTTGGAGCGACCCGAAAGTTACACTTCTTCCATAAATACATGACATTTGCATATTTTTAATGCTGCATTATCTATGACTTTCTGAAGCCCTCTGGTGATTGATATTACCACACGCTGCAAAATAAGATTACAGTCAAACTCGCCTAAGTCAAATCTAAAGTGCCACTGAAATATAGTTCGACTTAGATTAAATTCGACTAAAGCAAAGTCGAATTTTATTCGATTTATCACAATAGCAACTTGACTTGGAGAGGTAGGCCTTACGGAGAGCCGAACATAATTAACACGCACTGAAGGTACACGCACAATGTTGACCGCCCATTTGGCCTTGAATGAAAAGCCTAGGCTACCTAAACTTACCTTGAAAGCAGTATTCTTCAGAGTAGCAATACATTACATTAATTTTTCTATTATTACAGTATATTTAAATATTGTTAACTGCTTCTATGCCATTATTTTAAATACATTATAAAGAGGAATCAATCAATACTTTGAATTAAAGCTTAATCATATTTATATTTGATAAACTACCGTAACAATTAATAACTTATTTTTGCATGGCCATCAAGCAAACACGTTTTAAGGTGAAAGTCTTTAATATATATATTTCAACACGTGCATTAATCGTAAGTAAACCAGATGTGTATACCCTGCCACAAAATGAACCATTCAGAAATCGCCCACTACTCATGCACGTGCTTGCTTCTCGCTGCACCGCGAGGAGAGCAGGCCATCCTCTGCAGATAGTTTGTATGCAACAAAGATCGGGATGAAGATAAAACTACAGTAGCACATTTGTTTTATATGATGGGTTATTTCCTATACCTAAATTCCATAAGACAATTATTTTACAATTACTGTACGTATCTTACAATACAATTCAATTTACTGTATTTAAAAAAGAACTAACAAAACCTGAAACAGTGCTTAAACAATAGTCGCTTGTCGACGTTACCACATGTCTGAACAATAGTGAGAAATGTGAATTGAGTCGCATGTAAAATAAACTACACAAAGTACCGCTATGCAATGTAAACACGAGTCACTTGTCGGGCTTACTTAGCATGTGAATTTCTGCATTGCCAAATGTATGAGTCACTTGTTGACGTTCACAGCGATGTTGGTAAAGCGGCGCAAGCTTAAAATGATTGAAGTTTTACATCAAAATTTTGACTTCGAATTACGGACTAACAATTACTGTAATGGAAAACAGATCAATTTAACATGTAAAATATGTTCGACTTCCGTTTTTATGCGACTTAAATTTATTCGAGTTAGAGCAAATATTAACCATTGTAAATATAGTGAAGATGAAGTGACATGATAATAATTTCGACTTTGACAATTTTTTTGACTTGGGCACATTCGACTTAGGCGAGTATGCCTGTAGATTTTTTAAGCTCATTTAACCAGTTCTTCAGAAAGTGAATTTTTTCAACTTGGAACCCTGAAACAAACAACTATCAGTGTGCCAACAAGAGGCAATGAGGGAAATTACATGTGCACACCCATTGACCATGGTGTGGTTTTGTTATTAGGCATGCTGAGGGGAATGTGGTATACTTTAAGGGTTGTGTGCCTTTTCAGCGAACATTTAGCCTTTATCCAGGTATCTTACTGATAGAGTAACTTCACCTTTAATTTGCAGCCCTCAAAATTAGCATCGCATTCGGCAATGCCGAGGTAATTGCCGACAATTAGCAAGCTTACCACGGCACCAAGTTGCCGAGGCTCCTTTTTTATAGGCCTAGCAAGTGGGCTAAAGAAATTTCAGCTTGTATGCCCACAGAATGTTAACATTTTTGAGTTTATTATTGTGTGTAAATTAAAATTAAACATTTATTTTAATCGTGTAATGTAACTAATTTAATAACGCCAAGTAAGACGTGCTTACAAACCAGGAATTACCACAGTCAAGCTGATGTATTCATGCATGCTGTAAACACAATGGCCAAGCATGTTGTTGTGGCAGGCAGCGGCGAACGATGAGGGCGTGGAAGATTTTTGGTAGATTCCGGCCTGGGTACTCTATACTGTGACATATGTTCATTTTAAAGCAGCCGTAAAATTAATGGTTAACTTATACTATTAGTATTAATATAATATTACCATATGTTTTAATGTTGCCGTTTTTACGAAATAAACTTCAATATACAAAGAAATTAAATATTGTTAGCAATTTGTTTTACCTGCTTCAGAATGGTACGAACTATAAACATTACGTCATTAATGAAGAGAGCAAACACATGTTAAGCTCAATGGTGGCGTTGAAGGGAAAGATGCTTTCTTGGCTTAGGGCAAACCCTTGCTAGATAGTTAAATAGGTAGGTCTAGAACTTGATCGACGTTTAGGCCTAGTCAGGTGAGCTTTTGTTCTGTAGCTGTTGTTTGATGTAGTTTCGATGATAGATAATCCCTTTTAGCTGTAGTTAGGGCATAAGTTAGAGAGACACTAAAAAATGCAAATTGCCGACGTAGTGCCGAGGCGAGTGCAATTTACGTCGGCAATTTTTTGCAGAGGACTTATCGTCCCAATTTCGAGGGCTGAATTTGAGTAATTTGTAAATTACCTTTAACATGTTTTAAAAAAAGCACTTTGACACTCATAGGTGTAGAGAGACATGGGCAATAAAATACTTTTCCCTACAACCACCAATATGAACAGCCTTCATTGTATTCTTTGAATTCAATACAATACAATATACTTTTGTTCACAATTAAAATAAAATCAGTTAAATTGCACATACACAGAAACTGTCTTAAAATGTAAAATATCTAAATGTTGATACAAAAGACAAAATAAAAATTAACAATCGGGTTCAAAAAGCATGAAACAATTATTTAATGTTCACGTCAATGCATACATAATGCTCTATATACTTCTCATGTCAAGTCTGCCACACCTAATGTCAAGCTACAATGCACTACAAAAATGCTGTTAGTATTAAGCAATTGATTATGCATGATCAAACTTGTTTGAATGTATTGCTAGCTTTTTTAATGTATTGTTGGTTATGTATCAATTTAAATATTGTTAGAGTGCTAATAATAATATTTTAATAATAATGATAATTCTTTTAGCAGTATTGTAGTTAGATTATGACAACTATGACGATATTGTGTTTAATAAAAAAACTAAATACAATTCTTTGATTAACACTACTTTTTACTGATGGTCTGTTCTATTTGAAAATGGTGATAATAAAGATTGCATAATAGACTGTCAGCGAAAGGTAGTATTTGTCAGTAATTACAGTTAAAATTAACACATTTAGTTTTCTGTAACCTTAATTTTATTCTTTATTTGCCAAAAAACAAATTGCAAAATACAATATTGGTACATGCACAAATACATACATGCATACATTGTGCAAAAAAGTATATCTATCTTTGAACAAATTCAGTTGGAATGATGATAAAACTATTGGTTTTGATTCTTTTTTATAATCCCATTTAAAAATAAACAGGAAATTCCTGTGCAAAAAAAAATTAGGAAACTTCAAAATCAATGGCTTTTCTTTTAATTTGGGAAAAAACCAAACATGAAAATATGTGAATAACACCAACATTTTTACTTTGAAGGAATTATAAAAAAAACCCAAAATGATAGTATATCTTCATGCTTAAATAATTCCAATTGGCTTCTAGAAGATATTTTTGGTGAAACTGGGGGAAAAGGGGGTGTAATGTTCCCCTTTTCCCAAGCTTTTAAATATTCAAAAGTTTCTATTTTATGAGCAATCCCAAATTATTACTTTATACCACCAAACATTTTTTTCTTCCAGAGCTGTGCTTTAATGATATGTTATTTTTACTTTTAAGATCCAACTTCATGGGAGATTAACAGAAAACAAAAAGCTGGCGTCGGAGTACCGTGCTAAACAACAACGAATGTACAGCATTAAGAGCAAACTAATGAACCACTTTGAAGATCGAATCAAGATGGAATCAAGTCTCAAAGACCATAAACAGGTATTATCACTGTTTTGGTTCCTACTGTATGTGGAACAGTTACAATATTATGTACTTGTGTGTGTGTATGCAAGAATGTCTAGTTTACCATTCTCTGACCTATTTTATAAATCAATTATTTGGGGATACCTAATCTCTGATATGCTCTTATTGTGATTTGATCAGTTCATGTTCATTTGTTTCTGTTTCATATTATTTTAAAGAGCTTATTATATCAAATCAAATCTATTGGCCATGGTGGCAGGGGTGCTTGAAAGTGCTGGTAAACATAGCTGTTTCTGGTTTTTTTTTTAAATTGTCCGTGGCATTTCTTTGAAATAATACAGTAGTTAACTAATAATTGTATTACAATTGTATATGTGTTTGATGGTCAAATAAATACTAATATAAACTTGTGAATGTATTTGTGGTTGAAAATGTACACCAATGCAAAAACATTGAATTTGCAGAGTTGTTTCTGTAAAGTTTTTAGCTTGATTGCGGGAGGGCCAGAAACCGTATCGATTTTCAGGAGGCTCGCGTAAACTTAAAATAATTTTAGTAGCTCGGTTTCTCTAGAATGCTTAAAGTATTTTGTTAACCAATTCATTAATGCTGTTTGTGGCCTTACACAAAATTTATCATTATTTCAGTTAAATGGACTACAAACTCGTTTACACAACATGCTGATCCAATACTACAAAATTCGTGGCATGTACAATGAAAATGAGCTTGCCCGCTTTGAAGAAATATCCGCTATTAACTCTAGCCGAATCTTGGATATCAAGGAAGATATGGACACATGCATTTCAACTATCAGTAAATTCTTGCTGGATCAAGTTGACGGAACAGCTGCGAAGATGGTCACTGCTGCAGCTAGAGCAGTCTTCCAAGATGAGAAGCCAAATGAAGCTGTTGCAACACATTGAAACAGTTTTCCTCCTTGTTGCTTATTGAGTATAATAAACTATACTTATATCTGAAGGTTGATATTATTTATTAAAAGCTTTATTTTGTGTATAATAATCATAAGACTTGTTTTATAAGACTTAAACTTTATTGTTTTTTTATTATACATGTTTAAACTAAGTTCATCTGTAGATTTTGTTTTATGATTATAAATATCTATAATTTAATTGAAAGATTTAGTTTTGAAATTTATAATTATTAAAAATATAATAACCCTAGATAATGTATTCATTGTCAGTGGTTGCAACACTTGATAAACTGCTTATTGAATAATAGTAATGTTTTGATCTACAAGAGACTGAACCAAATTTCACTTGCACCTGTAACAACAATTTTATAGTCCTTAAATTTAGACTACCAACAAGCAGTCGTAGTCAGAATGACTGTTAGCGGTGTACAGAAAATATGAATAGGTGTAATTTTGCCCTACCTGACGTGGAAATGTACCGAATACTCAGTACATTTGAAAACAACTGCGAAAAAAATCGCAAGTTGTTCTCGGGTGGGACTCGAACCCACGATCTCCAGATCACTAGCCTGGCATCATACCTCTAGACCACGGAGCTTGCGCCTGATGGCCAGGGTTGAATTCGAGTCCAAGTAAGCAGTGGGTACTGCAGTGTTGATAGTAATTGTTATTGTCATGATAGAATAATAGACAATAACTAGATTATAACTGGAACATGTATAGGTGTAATTTTAAACAACTGCGAAAAAAAAAATCGCAAGTTGTTCTCGGTTGGGACTCAAACCCATGATCTTCAGTTCACTAGCATGGCATCATACCTCTAGACCACCGAGCTTGAATTTGAGTCCAAGTAATTGTCTATTATTGTCTATTATGGTAAATCCACTGGTACGAAAGTTTTAGGTAAGGTACATGGTAGACTTAAATTTCTTTTCAGAAAGAGAAAATATTTAACGTATAAATCCCTCAAATTGCTTGCGTCCTCACTTATTCAATGTCACTATGACTATGGGTGCTGTACATGGTTCTCTTCGCTTTCTAAAAAACTTAAATATAAATTCCAAACATCCCAAAATAAGGTTATAAAATGTGTTTTGGGACTACATCCATGAACCCATGTTGGTTATAATGAATTTAAAAAATTAAATTGGCTACCTGTTACTAGAGTTGCTGAACGAAAATGTATTCAAATTTTACAAATTATTAATGGCATTTCCCCTGTATATTTAAATACTGGCATTGAATTTACTAACCAATTTCATAACTATAATACTAGATACCGCAATCGATGAATGGAATAAATTACCTTATAATGTTCAAAATTCACAATCCATTTACACTTTTAAAAAACTCATAAAAAGCCATTATTTATCTGAACTTTATTATATATAGCTTTATTTATATGATGTCTTTTTTTGATTATTGATTTTGATTTTCTTGTTTTGATTAATGTATTATTCTGTAATTTAAGTATTTAGGGACCACAGTGGAAATAAGTTGCTTTTTTGTACTTTTCTGTGTTTTTATCCTTGAATGTATTTTACTTATAATTACTTCAGAATGAATAAATAAAATAAAAATATATATAGATAGATAAACTCTAAACTGCTTTGCGCTTATGCTGCCTTAAGAATATGTATAAATAATAAATTTCAAAAGGTAAAGGAGAGATAAATATGATAATTATAATAACTTGGAAACTTGTTATAAATTTAATTGGAATTACCAGCACTTTTACTTTGTTGTTATTTTTCTGTGTTATCAAATGGCCCAACACTGATTTCTTTTATTGTAAGTACGGAACGGGAATTCCAACGCCGATGATTGCAGATTTTTTTAAAACTTTGCTTCATACAAGTAAAGTACTGTATTTCGATTTTATTTCAAATAGAGTACTATCAAGTGTATCAGCCCCAATTTTTGGTTTACCTTGAAATTAACAGTCGCATGCAGTAATATTTTATTTTCTATTTATATTTGGTGACAACCATTATTGAACAGGCAATAGAAAGCAAATTTACAATGTGGGTGCAGTTAGCGTATTTATTATGACCCCTCAGAAACGGCATGTTATTTTAACGAAATGCGTCATAATTGCTTTGTGCCCCAAAACCGGCGATCGATAATAAAAGGTATGTCTCTCTTTCATAGACATTAGACATACAGGGAGAAAGCTATTGAAGGCCTAATTTGTTTAACATATCACTTACAGCTATAACATGACGCAGATGAATTTGGTCAAACAATGACCAGACTAAGTATGAGCTTAATGGTACCTGGGCGCCCGATAATGCCGTGTTGGGTAGATTGGGAGTGGGATGTGCTTTCAAGATTCAAAAGGTTTGGCTTGAGGGAAAGAAGGAGCATCTAGATATTGTAATGGGGGTCTTCCTGATCCGTGTTTGGTTATCACTGCCACAGCGTTTTTTTTATTTTTTTTTTATTTTTTTTTTTTAACATTAAATGGGCATGGGTAAATCATTCTCGACAAAAACTTAGAAGCATTATGATCTGAAAATAGTGACAACAGCCCTGTAGCTCGTTGATCAAGGAGGAATTAACATTTTCCAGTGAGGGGGCCAAGCACTAAATGGCCACACTCCACTCAGTCCCATGTGGATCATGTTTTTCAAAGTGTTTTAATTTGACAGTATTGCTGACGTTCAATTTTAAATACGTACTCGCGCGAATAAGCGCCCGGGCGCTTAAAATATTTTTTTGCACTTTCTGAGGGGCGCTTATTCAAACGGGGCGCTTATGAAAACAGAGTGGAAATTGAGGGGGCGCTTATGGAAATAGAAGAAAATCGAGGAAATTATTAAATTAAAGAGGCACTTTTTGAATGAAAAGGACATTACGAATGGTGGTTAGGCGGAAAAGATAATCCTTCAGAGAACGTGGCTCATGACAAGAATGCGTGAATATTTACATAATAGCAAAATAGCAGATGCAATTAGTGGTGGTGGGTAGTAGTTAGCTTGTTGGCCATCGGCCGATTGAGAT